GGGCCGTTTCAGCCTCACCGGGGCCGTTTCAGCCTCACCGGGGGCCGATTCAACCTCACCGGGGCCGTTTCAACCTCACTGGGGCCATTTTGACCTCATCGAGGCCGTCTCGACCTCACTGGGGCTGTCTCAACCTCACCGGTGCCGTCTCGACTTTACTGGGGCTGATTCAACCTCACTAGGGCCGTCTCAGCCTCACCGGGGCCGTTTAAGCCTCACCGGGGCCAATTTCAACTTCACTGGGGCTGTTTCAACCTCACCGGGGCCATCTCAACCCCACCGGGGCCATCCCACCCTCATCGGGGCTGTCCCAGCCTCACCGGGGTCACCTCAGCCTCACCGGGGCCATCCCAGCCTCTTGGGGGCTGTCCCAGCCCCACGGGGGCTGCCTTGGCCCTACAGGGGCCGCCTCGGCCTCACGGGGGCCGTCTCAGCAACACTAAGTGACATTCTGTCCTTTGTTGGGCGGCTCCTTGCTGGACAAAATCTCCAGGCGTTCCTGGTGGCTGAATATCTGTTATGCTTGCTTGGATTTCGTTTTCTACCAAGTGCACAGACTGCCTGTCTGCCGTCTCCCAGCGTACCATGTGAGACTGGATCTGGTGGACTTGCTTGTGCGTTTGCTGGTACAGCGGTTCCATGTCACTGGCCCAGCCGGGTCTGGCTCTGGCTTCCTCCGAACCTGATTCTGCTTCTTGAGTGTGTCCCTTATGTATGCGAGGAGTTGAAACCTGCATTCTGCTGGGCTGGGCTGCAAAAGCGCCAGTGGTTCTCTTTGTGTCACTAGCACAGCTTGGGTGGGGATGTAAATTGAGTAGGGCAGGGTCCCCAGGAATCACCAGGGCGGGTCCAAGGGCAATGGCACGACTCCGCGTCTCTGCGTCCCCGAGTGCCGGCGAGCAGCTCCGAGAGACAGCCACTCTTGCTCTCCGGCCCATTGCAAGGCCGTCCCGCCTCTCCCCGTAGGGGTCTGGAACCTCAGAATTCCGCCCCAAACAAGCTCAGTGGACTCGAGAGTCTGCATCCCCTTCCGATTGAAAAAAAGCCGCGCATCCAGTTGCAGCCCGCCTGGCACGTGACTCCGTACCTCTGTTCTTGGAGCCTCTGCACAACCTACTCAGTCTCAATGCTCTTCTTTCTTTCCTTCCAGTTGTAGAGCTTCCACTGGGCCAGCTTTCCCATGGTTCTGAATGATAACTGTTTGTTTTATAGTTGGTAGTCTCGATGTTGTTGTGGGAGGCAGCACGCACAGGTCTGTACCTTACGCCGCCATCTTGGTTCTCTCCATAAAATTATTTTCGTTGCTACTTCATAACTGTAATTTTGCTACTGTTATGAATCGTAATGTAAATATCTGATATGCAGGATGTATTTTCATTGTTTGCGACCCACAGGTTGAGAACTGCTGCCTCATCTTTGTTTAGAGCCTCATCTTTACATGCAAGGCAATATACTAGTATGTAAAGAGCTTAACACTGTCGATGGCTTTTAGTAAGAACTTAAGTAATACCTTTTATTATTACTGCAACTGACCAGGTGACCTTGGCTTTCCTCTTTAAGTAGCAAATAAAATAACATGTAAAAGGATTTTAAAAGTATAGGTTACTATAAAAATACATGGAACATATTGAAATGTAATAAATTGGAAAAATTAACCCAGCATTAATGTTACTCTGGATTTCTGTCCAGATCAAAAGAGGTGTAGGAAGTGGGGGTGACGGAGGGGAGAGACTTACCTTCAAAAGTTTCATTCATTAGTTTTGTTTGTTCGCTCGTATTTAATGATGCTATATGTGATGAGAGCTTTCTGGCTGTTTCTTTTTAGATTCCACCAATACAGACACCACCATGTGGATCTTTGTGGCTGTGCTTTCTGTTGTCGTCTGTCTGATTATGGTCTGGGCGGTGGCTATGAAGGGCTATAGGTACTTCATTGTCTATCAACCTTCCTCCCACCATGGTTTATGGGATAATGATTTTTTTTTTTAAAGGCGAAAGCGAGATGATGGAAACTTACAGATAATTCAAGCACCTGATTTTAGCCATTAGCTCCAGTGTGCTACCCATAGGAAAATCTTGTCAGTATCAGCAAAAGTCGCAGAATGAACTCATTTGAAGCTGGTGCTCTTTCCATCAAACTGAGGCTTGCAGTTGGAAAATAGTAAAAAAAAAAAAAAAATTGGCAAGAGCAGCTAAACTAGGAACAACTAGTGCAAATAATCCACTAATTTCCAAATCAGCCCCTCAGTCAGCCAGAGCTAATTTTGATGTTGGCCTCTATAATTATTGTCTTCACCACTGATTGTCAATTTCATGTAGCCCCGCCCCCTCTCCCGCCCCCAGTTTTAACTCCTCTCTACCATAGTCCATGTAGCAGCTATTTATAGGTAATACTAACCTTTTAGAAATTACAAAGTGATCAAATGAGTCATTTTTTCTATCTCACGCATTCTTTTACAGCATGCTGACCTGCTTCTTACCACCAGTTCCTGGGCCAAAAATAAAAGGACTGGATATTCATCTGCTGGAGGTAAGTGCCAGAGGTGGAGCGTGTCTCCTGCCTCACCGTCTACAATAACGACCTTTACACATGCACACACAGTCCCCATCCGTTCGGCCGGGCTGCCTCAGTCACCCTTGCCCCGCTGTCCCTCCTCTTTAGAAAAAGATGCGTGAGGCATGAGGGTCCTTCGTAGGAGACATTAAATGTCAGAGGGAAGAGAGAGGAAGCCAAGAAAATGAGACAACACATAGTCATGCTTTCTAGACTTACCAGGCCTATTCATAAGCACAGATGTGAACATTCTGTACAAATAATCAATTTAGAAAAAAAGGTGAATATTTTGTTTAATACAAAAGAGGGACCTACCGCCCCCCTGCCCTCCATCACACTTTGGTGCAAGCTTTCACTTGGATGTTCTTTACAGAAGGTCATGGTGACAGAATAACCTGCTGCGGTGTTCGCTCTGTTTGGGCCCACAATTGAGACTGGGTCAGTGCAGTGGGCTGGTGTCTGCCAGGGCCCATTTAGGCTGATTCAAGTGGGAATTAAATGTAAGTGTTTTGAATGAAAAAGTGGGTTAGAACATTTTAAATTTCTCTGCAGGTTGAAATATTTAGTTTCAATTTGACCTTAAGTTTAACACCGATATTTATACAAGCAATTGCCTTTGCATTATATCATGTGACCTAGCCACTGTGAGGCTAACAGTACAAGAATGTGAGAAGTGAGTCCCCGAGAATTTGGCTTGACTACATTCACTTTGACTGCAAATATCATAGCAGGGACTCAGGCCCTGGAATTTGGGTTCCTCGTTCAGTGCTTTAACCCTACTGTCCTTTGAAAACCAGCATGAACATCTCAACTAACTAAATTAAGAACTACTTGACCTTGTAGTCACAGGAGCTTAATGAAAAAATAACTTCTTTTTGTGTCACAAACAAAAAAAAGTTATTGTTTTCTCAATCACATGACCTCCAATCCTCAGAAGAACCCTCCCATATGACACTGTTATTCCCATTTTACAAATGGAGAAGCTGAGAACCATAGAGCAGCTTGTTCAAAGTCAATACCCATTAGTAAGTGAAAAAGCCAAGATTTAGGCACAAGTACCTGACCTAAGTCAGAGGATCAGGAAGAAGAGTGGAAAGTAAGAGGAGAAGGCAAAAGGAAGAACGAGGGAGAAAGAGAAAGAGGAGGGAAAGGAAGAGCAAGAGAATGAGAAAATATGTACTAGCAGGAAGAGAGAGGGGAAATGCAGTAGAGAAGAGAGAAAAGGAGGATTGGAGAGGAAGGGGGCAGAAGGAAGGAATAAAGAAGTAGGAAGAGGAGATGATGAGAAGCAACCTAACTGCTTCCAGATTCTAGAAAGTGGTGGAGGAGGTTAGGAGACCAGCAACCAGATCTTAGAGCCGCTGAGTCCCGGAGTAAATGTTTCTTCTTTAGCAGTTATGTTTCTCATCTGTGCATATACTACTGCCCATTAAACTCATGGTCATTATTGCTTAGAGAGAGACGAAGTTAAAATCATGAATTGACTTAAAGAAAATTATTAGATGAATAGAAGTCTAAGAGGTGATTATAGATGGCCTGGTACGCAAATGTCTACGGTTTGGGAAATGCTGCTAGACGGTTACAGCTTCCAGCTGCCCGTGCGTGAGCACAGCTGCGCTTTGGTGCTGCTTTGGAATGTTCTGAAGCTCACAGCCATTCTTTGTGTGTCTGTTTTAACAGAGGGGCAAGTCTGAAGAACTGCTGGGTGCCCTGGGGTGCCAGGACTTCCCCTCTGACTGTGAGGACTTGCTGGTGGAGCTGTTAGAAGTCGTTGACAGCGAGAACCAGCAACCGATGCAAGTCCATTTGAAAGAACACCCCAATCCAAGGCTGAAGCCCACACCCCTGGACCCCGACAGTGACTCTGGCCAAGGCAGCTGTGACAGCCCTTCCTTCTTGTCCAACAATTGTGAGGGGTCCCAGGAAAGTCCCTCCATATTCCACATTCCTGGGGGCATTAAGGAGCCAGGGAACCCTGAAGGAAATGGTGCCCACACCTGGGACTCTCGGAGCACCAGCGTGGAAGGCCGCGTCCCCTATTTCTGTGCTGATGGACCCAAATCTTCAACATGGCCTTCATCACAGCCCCCCAACAAGCACAACCCCAGATCTTCTTACCACAACGTCGCTGATGTGTGTAAGCTGGACCCGGGCACGGCAGGTTCCTCTGCCACCGTGTTGGACAAAACAGACAAGTGTTCTCTAACGTCTTTGGAAACCACTGAGACTGGAGGGGAGGAGAAGGCGGCCGAGCAGAGGTGGGTGGGAAGCTTCCATTCCAAGACTGACCCAGACACCCCGTGGCTGCTGCCCCAGGAGGACACCTCCGTTATCTCTGCTAAACCCTTGGATTACGTGGAGATTCACAAGGTCAACAAGGACGGAGCATTGTCATTGTTCCCCAAACAAGAAGAGAGCGGCAACCAGACAGAGAAGGCCGGCGGTCTTAAGACCAGGATGGAATACTCGAAGGTGGCCAGGGTGATGGAGAGCAGCATCCTGGTGCTGGTGCAGGACCCGCCCGCCCCCGACCTGGCTTTGTTTGAAGAACCAGCCGAGGAAGCCCCACCATCCTTGTCACAGAATCAAGAGGAGAAAGACCTGGCCGCCTTCGCCATGACACCGAGCAACTACAGACTGGCCGGGCTGGACTACCTCGACCCCACGTGCTTAAAGCACTCTTTCCAGTGACGGCTTGATCATTGGCATGGTTGGTTAAAATGTGATTTTTCTTCAGGTACTGCTACAGCGCACATGAAATGTCCTCTCCTAGAGAATGTTCGAGAATGGGGTTCGAATGACACTACTAAAACTCACAGTTCCCTCTTCTTCATGCTCCATTTTCAACCAGTGGCCTCTTTCTCCAACAGCTGATTCCGGATCGGATCATTTTGTTTCCTGTGATTTGCTGATCTAGTGTTTGTTTTTAGTTATAAAATCGTATGTTCAATGCAATGGAAGCGCACTGCTTAGTATTCCTGAGGGACTGTGCCAATAGGTAAAGCCTCCGGAAAAGGCGCCCATGGTTGGGCATAGGCCAGGAGGAAATGAAGGAGTTAGCATAGCTCAGCGCAGGAAGATGATAGATGTGAGAAGAATGCCATGTAAGCTGCTTTTGAAAACCAGTTGCTTATCCTTTGCACTCCTCTCCTATTTTATTGAGATTAACCAAATATAACACATTGCATGAAAGGATGCATTCCGGAACCAACACGTCATTTACATCACTTCCTGTTACCTTAGTGACACGTTGCTGATATGCAAGTAAAAATCATGCCTCCATTTCTTTTCCTTAAAATAGTTGGAATCTGGTAAGCCTGGATTCCCCTCTCCCAAATTGTATTTCATCCTAAAGCCTCTAGAAAATATAGTTTTGGAGAGTGAGATTTTCTTACACAGGAGGCAAGTGAATTTGACGTGATGGATCCTCCTAAAACGGTTTCCTGCTTCATTTCAACACAACAGATAATTTATTATACACCCTAGTCTTCTCTTAGTGGGAAAAAAAAATCCCCAAAGACTAACTTTAATTTCAAAGATAATCACAGCGGGATGGTCATGGAGATACTGCCTTACTGTACATACAGATTCTACTTTACTACAGACCCGTAAGTTTAACAATGTATTTTTGAAGACTATTTTTCTACCACTTAGGTAAAGTAAATGAGTATTTTCTATCTTCCCAGTACAGCTGTTTACGTAGTCAGAGGGTACGGTCTTTTCTGCTGAGGCTGCAGGGAGCATTTACAGTCCATAATAGAATACGCAGTCCCTATTTGTGGAGCAAATGCCATACCAACCAAAGCCCACTGAGGAGTGGGAGGTGGGTGACAATATTCAATTTCCAATACAGCACAGTATAGTTTACCTGATTCTTTTATCTCCAGATACACTAACCAACAATCACCAATAGTGTGTTAGGACTCTCCACACACAGAAATTTTTTCTCCTGTAATTTAGGGCTAATCTGGGGCTCCTGCTCTTTTCTGGGTGAATATTCCAGAAGTCATCGTGAAAAAGGAGGGTGGTGACATCCAGCATACTGTTTTAGAGAGAGGGTTTTGTTTTGCTCTGTTTTTCTGAGCAATCTTGGGCAGCAAAGATATTGTCAGCAAAGCCACGAGTTAGTTATCTCTCTGGAGTAGATCCATTTGCAAAATCTTGGCAGAGACAACATTCACGTCAGAAGTTTCCAAATAAATGTTTTGAGAAACAGCATCTGTGGAGTGGTGGGCACAGCTACAAAGACCAGGGTCTGGTAGTAAGAATCTCTGAGTCAGTGCCAGGGGCAGGCTCCCCGGAAGGATCAGAAGGCTGGATCTCCATCTTAAAGAGAGCATCCATAACTCATGAGCTGCCTCCCTCTCTTGTTTATTTCACCTGATGGCAAATCCTTTCTCTCTGTCCACTCCCCAGCTGGACTTAGAGAATTTGAGCTCACCTCTGTGAGTTAAGTATTCCACCCAACAAGCCCATGTTGATGGGAACTGGAGGCAGAGGTGACCTGATGGTGGAAAGCGAATACACTGTCCTGGCATCCAGATTGCAGAAGTAATAGACCTGAGGCTCTGTTCTCCCAATACATCAACATCGTAAGGGTACGCGGAACATTTGGAAAAGTTGTCCCCAAGTTCATTCAGTCTCCTAGATCCGTGGTCGGCAAACTGCGGCTCGCGAGCCACATGCGGCTCTTTGGCCCCTTGAGTGTGGCTCTTCCTAAGCCTTAGGAGTACCCTAATTAAGTTAATAACAATGTACCTACCTATATGGTTTAAGTTTAAAAAATTTGGCTCTCAAAAGAAATTTCAATCGTTGTACTGTTGATATTTGGCTCTGTTGACTAATGAGTTTGCCGACCACTGTCCTAGATCCTTGCTACTTAAAGTCTGGTCTGAGGACCAGCTGTGTCATCATCACCTGGGCGCTGCATGGAAATGCAGACCTCAGTCTCCCTGGCCCAGAACTACAGAGTCAGAACCTGCATTTGACTAAGTTCCCCAGGTGACCCCTGTGGGTAATGAAGTTTGAGAAGTACCGCCCTCCATGACCACTTCCCCTAAAGGCTGTTTTAGCACATGGAAACGCCTCTCTTGGAAAGTACAAGTCAAGTCTGTTTGACTTACACTGGACAACACTGTGTGTAAGGAGAAGGCATAATTTTTTAAGATCTATCTGTACTTTAAGATTCACATGATGGCACAGAATGACCTGGGAAAGTACACACAACTTCTAAGAGGGCCAAGGGATATAGTCCACCTTGAGTAGCATTGACCAAGACTCTGCCCTTCAAAGCCAATGCAGACTAAAATGTTCCCCAAATAGGCCATTGTTCTCCAAGATGTATATCAATCACTCTGGTAGCTTGCAAATTAAAAAATAATCTGATTTTGGTATTCATGAAGAAATGTTATGGGTAAAGAGTCAACTTGAACTGAATTCCTATAAAAACACCAATTAGCCACTCACTAAGTCAAGCCAAGACTATATTTCTTTGTCAGTTAGGACTCCTATTTGAATCTAAGTGTGTTTTTTTTTTTTCCCATGAGTAGAATATTTTCCATCAAGGAAACAGCTAGTCGGATGGAAAGATGCAGGTTGGGGGTCAAGAGTCCCCGGCTCTAGTCCTAACTATGTCACATGAAACAGATCAATTCCCTTCTCTGGGCCCCAGTTTCCTCTGAAAGAAATATTGGTCCAAATGTCCTTTCAAACTCCAACTCCCTGATTCCAGTTTTTTTCCCATGGGTAGAATATTTTCCATCAAGGAAACAGCTAGTCGGATGGAAAGATGCAGGTTGGGGGTCAAGAGTCCCCGGCTCTAGTCCTAACTATGTCACATGAAACAGATCAATTCCCTTCTCTGGGCCCCAGTTTCCTCTGAAAGAAATATTGGTCCAAATGTCCTTTCAAACTCCAACTCCCTGATTCCATGACTCACTATTTTCTAGCCAAGATAATTCAACCAATAAATGCCTTGTATCTTGCTAACAACTAATTGCCCTTCATCGTAGGAATGCAAGTACCTTCAGTGATGTGCCAATACTTTCCTTTTTGACCATCAGTTCTAGTTGGTCCTAACATACCGCATTGTGTATTTTCTAAATTACGTAGGTACAGAATCATAGTCTCAGACTGTGTGCAAACATGTGTGTAGCGAGAAGAAGAGGCATGACATTTTTTAAAAAGACATTTTGAATGTGGCTCTACTTTTTAGAAAAACGATCTTTTGCCAAATCAAGCCATGCTTACTTCTTGCTGAGTCCAACAGCCCCACATCTCCTTTCTTACAGCTGGCTGCTGATTCTGGTATTTTTTTCTCTCTCCTAGATTACCAACCAACATTGCACAGTTGGTGTAATTTTCTGAATTATGAAAAGTCGCATTTTATAAACAAAGGCCTAAATATTCATGTTACAAAGCACATGGAAATGGGATAGCCATTGGGTGATTTAGGGAAGCTTATGGCCCAAACTGCAAATGTGCTGTGGTCGGTTTTTACAAATGGGTATTAGGCTCCTCAACATGAGCACAAGTTCCTCTCAGCCACGTCATTGACACTTAGCTGACTCTTCTTTCTCCTAAGTGCCTCAGGCCAACCCTGGTTGGCAGTTATGGATTGAAAACTTGCTTTCACCGGTTTAGGTCCATCCCTTAGCACCTGTGCAAGTCAAGGAGTTTGACTGCTTTTCCCATAGTGACCCAACTGAATCAGAGAGTCCTGAGAGTTAAGGGGTGGCTGGAGGCTGTGGAGGAAATCTGGCTCTTTCGCTGGCTGCCCGAGGCTGCCCATCGCTTCCAGAAAGACGTGGCCCTGCCTTCAGAAACTTCCCTATCCCCTTAGAGTAGACGAGAAAGAAACAGATTTGTACGCATTCTACAAAGTGCCTTTCTTTACTTTTATATTTTTTAATGTTTCCTTTTCACAAAAAGTGTATTGATTGGAAAGTAAACTTTCCTTTTTTTATGTAAATGAATGAAGGAGCCAGAATGGAATGATGAAATGGTCTAAAGTCCAACCAGCAACTGCTCAGAGGCTTTTTAAATTTATAGTGTAACTGAACGACCACAGAGTCGATGTGAATCCTGTGACTTCCTTTGATAAGCAATTGACTCTGGCTAGGGTTTAGGGAGTCAGCCTGCCGCCCCCAGACTTCAGCTTACAAGCACATTGATGCACTTATGAATGGCTGTGAATTGCGTGCCTGGCCCTGAAAAGGCAATGCACACACAATGGAACTGTGCACAGACAAGAGAATGTGAAGGACTCTAGGTTACCCCCCGTGCTGGCTCATGTAGACTTGCCATTGATAAAGGCGCCATGTGTACGTCAGTGAACACATCTCCTTTTCTGCCTTTTCAGCTGCGGCACAATTGTGTTGTTGCTAGGGTAGTGGCTGAGCGTTCAGTTTCCAGGTCTAGGGCACGTTGCTGCCACTAAACAGGCTGTTGACTTGATGCAAATCCTTTAAACTCCAGCCACCATTTTCCTCACCTATTAAATATGTAGGTTGGCCTTAAATCTTTCAAAGACCGTGTTACAACTCTGTCTCATTTTCATGATCTAAGTAGAATCTAGGGTTTCTGGTGAAAGGCCCAAGTACAGTCAGAGAAACATTGTTGGTGTGCCCTTAACCTGAAGCAGTGAACAGTGTGGCTGGAGCAATGTTTGAGAGAAAAACAGAGACCCATCCCTCCCAGTCAGATGGACTTGATTTCGAATCCTTGCTTCTCTTCTTGATTGTCCATACTTGTAGGCTCTTTCTTCTCTCGCTGCAGGGCCCATAGTTACTCATGGCTGTAGCAACTTTAAGAACTGCAAAAAAATCTGAATTATCCCTGAACAATGACAATGGCCCTGCAAAAGACTGAGTCAGCCTCCCAGCCATCAAAGCCCAGGTTGAGGGTCATAAGTAACCTAAGTTGGAGATTTGCATGCTTAGAGATTCTAGCTCTATTCATTAATTACTAAACTAATTCAAAGACCATTCATAAATCCAAGCGACATTGACAGCTCGGTCCTGGAGGTCTTAAACAGAAACTTAACGCTATAGAATGATTGCTGAGGGCTGGTGGTCTCGCCAGGAGTTCTATGTCTAAGTATGGCCTGGATGTGTCCCACGATGTGCGAATCAAGTGGGAGCTCTCTCCTCAGACTGGTGTTTTTCAGGAAGGTGGTTTTTGGCCTGAGATCCTCATAGTATCTATTTCAAAGAAAGGAAAAAGATAAAAAATTGAACATTTTCAGAGGTTTGGGCATCTCGAGAGTCCATTAAATGCTAAACCCAAATTTTATGAAACCTGGTGAATCCATAATCTATTCAGTGTTCTGAGTTGAGATGTACATAACCCACAACACCATGGGCCCATGGATTCCTTTGACCTATGCTCTGATTTCAAGTCAGGATGAGCTGAGACATGCAGAGTGGTAGAACATACCCCATTCCTGTCACTGTGGCCAGTGAATAGAGAGAGACCTTGGATAGTCTTAGTCTATTAGTTAAGTTTCACCTGCTTCTGATTAAACAGAAAAAACAATTAACTCACAAAACTTTGGCTACAGAAGTAGTAATATCAAAAATAATATTTAATAGTTGTGGTCAAATTATGCGTCACCTGGATAAACTTCAAAATATAATCTGAGTTTTTCCATGCAAATTTCACAAGTCCTGGAGGGAAATAAGGCATTTGTTTGTTATGCTATCTGAAATTGGAAAACTACATGGCAGAGATACTTCTGAGAAATAATTTGTTTTATAAAATTCCTGATGAAATGGTTTTTTAATTTTTCAAAATAACTACCTCCCCTTCTTGTCCTAATGTCCTTTCTTCAAAGCTGCTTATTGTTAGAATGAAGTGTGTCACGTCTCATGCTTCAACTCTTTTTCAGTGGTATATTTGTTGTATTTGCCAGGTGATATTCCTGACTTTAAAGTAACTATGATATTATTTTACATTATAATGCTTTATGTGGTTCAAAAGCTCTAAGACACATTGAAATACTAGTATATAGTCAATCCTCATGTTGTGAAACTCATGTTACACGAACGAAAATAATTATTTAATGACTTACAATCTATTCATATGTAGTTTCAATATGATTGTGTCTGTGTCTGTAAAACAAAACTGAAGGAAATATGTAATCATACAATTCTGTTGAAACCGTGACTACACTAATTTTTTTCTTAATCTTTGTGTAAAGTAGTATAATATGCCATTTGTACAGCTGAGCTGGGGTGTTAAGTGTTTAGAGTACAACCAACAATTGTTTGAAAGTCAACCAAGCCCTCAGCTTTGCTTCGCGTCAGTGACCTCTGATGCTTCTTGAGTGTTATTTGCATCAGGGGGCCTGCTTTTGTGCTTGATCGTTCATTTTTTTTTAAATTTCAGAGTCTCGTGTGGAAACCAAAGCAATGTTGAAGCAGCCTGTGTCTTCTGTAAAGTCATATTGAAGTAAAGACTGTGTAATAGCATAAAGTTCCATATTTTCAAAGCTACCACTACCTCTGCTTTGTCTCTTTCCTAGAAAATGCCAGGCAGATTTCTTCACCATTAAGTGGGAAATTAGAAGCGATTGTTACAAAAGCTGTTGGATAGTTGTGTTTGTTTGTTTGTTTGTTTGTTTGTTTGTTTGTTTGTTTTTACATGAGACAACACCTTCTAATCCACCATTTTGCAGGTTTATGCTAGGTTGTCTCAAGAGCCATTTCTACATCTTCTAAAAACTGGATGATGAATAAGGACCAGAAAGAACACATAGTCACTGATGAAAAACCAACAAAACCAGAGAGCAGATTTGTTTCCTAACCATAAATCACCTGTTGCCCAAAGTCATGATGATGTTATCTCTCACAGTTTGATTTCCCCAATTCCGCGTAGAAATAAGTCTTTTCCTTATTTGATTTTAGACATCAAATATATTATGGTACGGGAAAAGTCAATCACATATCATAACTAATCTTGTTTCAATTTTTAAAATTTATTTCTACATGTACTTATTATAATGATTTTTTTTCTTTTTAGCCTTAAAGAATTATAGATGATAATCATCCAATTTATCCTGCATTTTTAATTCTGTAAATCTTTGGTTATTGAACCTTGTGCTTTCTGTTTTCCGTGGATTTACTCCTTTGTCTCTTTTCATTTTGAGGAGACAACGTGGACAGTTACATCTTTGTCAATCGTATGGGAGATTATGCTAACTGCTGTTACCCTAACATCTTCATCTTTTCTGCACGCCAAAAACAATGCTTGTCAAACAAAATCGTAGACGTCCCAGTACAATACGGTCTTTATATTTCTATTCATGTTATTGAAAATTCCCAGCTCAGTGCCTGGCTCAATAAATGTTTATTTCCCTTGCCTACCCTTCCTCTATTTTTTTTTATTTGACATGGAAATGAGCAGAACATCGTGTGTGTGGTTGAAACAACTTTCTTGAGGAATGTTTGCTGCAATCGGATCTGTTATCCAGAAATTGTTGGTATACAAACAATTCCGTTTTCCTCCTTTCTCATGGATGCAAACATAATAGCCCCCTTTACCTGCCCTTTCACATGACAAGCTGCTCAAACTAGAAGGAGATGGAACATGAACATGGGGAGCAAATCAGAGAAGCTCATTTAGATATTGTAAAATGGCCCTGGCTGGTCTGGCTCAGTGGATAGAGCATCAGCCTATGGGCCGAAGGGTCCAGGGTTTGATTCCGGTCAAGGGCACGTTTATGGGCCGAAGGGTCCAGGGTTCGATTCCGGTCAAGGGCACGTACCTCAGTTGCAGGTTCCTCCCTGGTCGGGGCCCTGGTCAGGGCTCATGCAGGAGGCAACCAATCGATGTGTTTCTCTCACATCGATATTTCTGTCTTTCCCTCTCTCACTCTCTCTAAAAATCAATGAAAAGATATCCTCGGGTGAGGGTTTTTAAAAAATTAAATATTGTAAAATAAAGGAATGACCAAACCATTAAAAAATCATAATAAATGAATTTATTTAAAGCAGCATGGATTTTCCATATTACAAACATCTTTTCTGATGAAACCCATCAGATTAAGGACTCTGGACCTAGAAATCTTGGCTGCTGCTCATGCTTGTGTTACAGAAATAGGAGCTGGTGTGGGTTTTGCTTTACAAACTTCTCTGCCTCCTGGTTCTCTCATGCCATGTTTTCTGGGGCCATGAAGACTTCTCTGCATATCACGGTCCAAAACTTGGCCTCCGTCAAATGCCGACTCTCCCGTGCTTAAGTGGGTGTCATCCGTCTTCAATACTGGGGCGCACTTTCACTTTTAAGCTGCAGAATTTGGAGGGTCAGCCACCAGACACAACATTCGAATAATTTACGAGGAGCTGGAGAAGCAATATGTAGCTCGTTTTCCAAAACCATTGCATGTGCTTTTCTGAAAGAAAACGGAAATTATGTATTGCCGCATCTTGCCAGGATTGCATTTGCAACTTTAACCCCACCTGGCTCCCTGTGACTTGCTAGCCAAGTTTTATACATTCTAAATCTCCTCTAGTTTTTAGGGACTGGGAGATACAACTTCCATTTAGTTAGAAACCTGGAAGGCCTGGGGGTGGGGTGTAGGGTGAAACGAGAGGGTCCAGGAAATGAGGCCACTGCAAAGCCCCCAACAGGGACCTCACTGACCACAGAAGCAGATTCTTGCTGGTTGACCCCTGAGAACCTTTCCGAGCCGCGCAGGTGGAACTGAGCCAGGTACTGATGTTGTAAAAGACATGTGACACTATAAATCTATTACCACCTGCCCTGCCCACCCCGCTGTCCATGTTAAGGCCCTTTTCTCTTGTTACTGAGCAGGTTCACATTAAAAGTCAAGCTTATAATCTGACTTGAAGCACAGATATTTTTTTTAAAATGTGATAAAGAAATTTTTAAGAGAAAGCTGTGGGACGTTAGTCAAATAAAACACCCCATGGATGTCGGTTGGCGAGCACTAGAATAAGAAAAGGGCACGCGGGGTTTTTATTACTGCATGTACAGATGTGTTTGAAAGAATTCGTGTCACAGGTACATGTTTAAGGTGACACCTTCGCTCCGTCAGTCATCGAAAATTCCAAGATGAGCTGAAATGACATCTGCCAGTAGTTTTACTTCACGTGACCAATATTGATGTTGTTACTGAACCATGTAGCCTCGTGATTCATTTTTCAATTCTCTTTCAGAGCGACTGCTTGCCATGGCCGCAATGCCTAGTTTAAACTGAACCAATAAATTGCTGCCTGAGCGATGGCTTTGGGAGGTTCTTTTTATGTACTTATGAAGCATGTATTTTATGGGGGGAAAATGTAACTTTGAGAAATTTGTCTTGGCTTCAACAAACTTCCTTAGGACTCTAAAAAGGAGGAGAAGAAGAAAAGAACAGCATTCAAGCGTCTCTGGAAATAAAGTACCCACACACATGCTAAAATCTGTGTCTTAGAACACTCACCCAAGGCATTGTTTTCAGGCACACATGCTTTGTGCTCGTCTTTCAACACATTCTCTCATTTTATTTTCCTGCTAATTCTAAATCAAAACTGACATCTTGCTTCCAAGCCAGCTGAATTCTCCATCTTCTCTTTTCCCCGTCTTTACTTATGTGCCAGACCCCAGCCTTAAACGCGAACACATGCTTGGAAGCACTCAGGAGTTCCTGGGGCTTCTGGGAACAACGGGAACAATCAGAAGGACGCGTTCCAAATCTGACAGACACTCAACATTCCCAAAGGAGACTTAGGCCATAAGCCTCAGTGCCAAGGAGCCACACTTTCTTTTGTTTGCTTCTTCCGACCTAGAATTATCTTCCCTCTTCACATGAAACTCTAGTTGTGATTTAATCTGCCACTTATGATTGAAAGGGCGAGGGCTATGCCCTCCGTCTTGCCCCGTATCCTCCATGTTGGGGCAGTAGCCATGTGCTCAGGAAGGTCCCTTCTTCCCGGAGGCCCAGGCCTCTGCTGGCCACGCCCGGGATTTCTTTAAACTGACCAATGACAATCAAAGGACGTGCGCGCCATAGCCTGTGTAACAAGACCCGACTTGCGCCTGGCCAATCGGCAGAGCCCACGGTCATCCCTCCTCCCCTCACTCCCCCCCCCTATTAAAACCCTGTTTTTTCTCACGGCGGTCTCTCTCTCCTCTTGCCGTTGCGTCGGAAGAGGCTGGGAGCCCGACCCGGGGCTGTAATAATAATAAAGGACTCTCTGCTTTTGCATCGGACTTGGCTGGCTCCCTGATGGTCTATTGGGGATCTTGAAATCTGGGCATAACAATGATCTTTTCTTTATTGCATAAAATATTTTGCACACACCTGAAAACTACGGAGTAATACAACTATCCACTTACCAACACTTACGTTTCACAAATTAATATTTCATCACATCTTTCCTCTACCATTCTGTATAATAAAGAGGTAATATGCAAATTGACCCTCACACCCTCGCACAAGATAGCTGCCCCCATGTGGTCAAAGATAGCCACCACAAGATGGCTGGCAGGGGAGGCTAGTTGTGGGCGATCAGGCCAGCAGGGCAGAGCAATTAGGGGTGACAGGGCCGGCAGGGGAGGGCAGTTGGGGGAGATCAGGCCAGCAGGGGAGGGTAGTTGGGGGCAATTGGGCCGGCAGGGGAGCAGTTAAGGGTCGATCAGGCTGGCAGGGGTGTGTTTAGGGGGTGATCAGGCAGGCAGGTGAGCGGTTGGGAGCCAGCAGTCCTGGATTGTGAGAGGGATGCCTGACTGCCAGTTTAGGCCCAATCCCACAGGGACATCCCCTGAAGGGTCCCAGATTGGAGAGGGTGCAGGCTGGGCTGGGGAACACCCCCCCCCAGTGCATAAATTTCATGCACCGAGCCTCTAGTTTTTTAAATAAATGAAACATCACAGATGCAGTAATATACATCTCTCAGTAACCAAATTTTTTGTCTTTCTCTCCAGAGGTAATCACAGTGTTGTAGCTGTTGTATATTCTTCCTGGCCATTTAAGAAATGCTTCTTATGTGCATCTGTAACCATACAACCAAGGGGTCTGGCTGCCTGTCACTACTTGAGCCAATTCAGCAGAGACAGGGGTGAAGTGAATCATATATGAGCATTTATTCTAATACTGCTGGCCGCATGGGAGAGCAGCCACCTGCTCTGCCCCCACCATAAGCCAGCCATATATATATATATTAGAGAAATATGCTAATTAACTGGGACGCCGCAACAGGTCGACTGGACAGGAGGAGGTTGCACACACAGTGTTGGGGGCAGGGCGGCAGGGACCTCCGCGCCTGCGCTGGGGGAGGGCCTGATCAGCAGTGGCCATGGCTGCTTCAAGGGTCAGAGAGGGAGTGGGGGGCACTGCGCAATTTCTAATCACACGCTGGGCTCCTAGTCTATATATATATATATATATATATATGTAATATGCAAATTAGCCAGGCATCACAACCAGCTCGAGGAGGCTGCATCACCAC